AGGCGACCAGTCCATGAGGTGATGAGAAGGGAAGCATTGCTCCAGTANCTTTGCCACATACTACAACTGTGGACACTACTCTGAGTAAGTACCGGTTCCTTTTGCTATTCATGGCGACGCCACATGAGCGGAGTCTTTGTTTATAGTATATGAAACTCCATGTATGCATTTCCGTGGAGGGAATTCTTTTATCTTTCGCTTGGGGCATGCTATGGCCATGAGTTTTTGACTACTATGTAACTCTTGAACTCGAGAAATGTTTGTGCCTTCTATCAGCTTTTTTTGGAACTGCAGGGTCTGAAACTTAATCCTTTGTAACATTTCCCTTTGGCCTACTGAAAATCTCCTTCCTTAACCCACATATTGCGTCACTTCATCATACAAACCTCCCCGCCCTCGATCAGGAGGTTACCGGATTCCCAAGGGCACGTGGATCATGCCGAACCTGTGGGCCCTGCACCATGACCCGGACACGTGGGGAGATCCTGACGTCTTCCGCCCGGAACGCTTCTTGGATGAGAGCGGGAAACCAGTACCCAATCCTCCCGCTCTAATGCCATTCAGGTGGGTTCAAAGTCAAGGAAATAACCCATTCAACCAGACAGCAAAATTAGTAAAACGTGATAACCATATTCTATACATGTATATTATTCTATATATTATATTCAAGACTCCTGATGATATTACACATAACACTTAGTTCCCACCGGCTCCCAGCCAGACTGAAGTTCACTCCATTTCCTCTGCCCCATTGACCTCTTTTCATGTTGGCCATCAACCTTCCCTCCGTGTCAAAAAAAAGCAACCTGCTCTGTCCGGACACGAACACACACAAACTAACAGCCATGCACTCAGCACAATACTTCAGCTGCACGTGAAGTTAGAGTTAATAATTCTCTTTCTTTCGTATTTAGTGCCGGTCGCCGTGCTTGTCCTGGGGAAGCTGTGGGGAAAGCGAACACCTTCCTCCTGTTGGGAGGACTGGTCCAGAACTTCCGCTTCACCATTCCCGAGGGGGAGGGGCCTCCTGACCTCGCCCCTGATAAGAAGGGTGGAGGCGTCGGCAGCATCCCCTCTCCTTATAAGGTGGTGATGACCTGCCGGAAGTGAATTTGGTGACCTACAGGAAGTGTATCATGTAGTCGTGTCCATGCAGGCTATTAATAAACATGTGTGCTGTTTTGCTGCACAATTACATGTAGTATCAAACGAATTTACCATCACTAAGAAGTGTAGACTATTTTACCTTCGTTGCCGCTGAATTTTGCCGTAGGAGCTAGGAAAAGGATAAACGGGTGTATTTTAAGTTCGCGGTTGAAAAGACTGTAGTATACTAGTACATGCAATACATTCATACATGTAAAGTGGAATATGTATAAGTTTTATAGAGATTAGAGGCTACATGCAGGAGGCAAAAGTTACATGTGTTACACACGTATATGCATGGAACTAATCTGTGGCTTGTAGTAGTGGGCTTCACTTACATGGAAACTTGTCAATGACTGGGTTTGAACCTTACCTGATATTGAGAATTGTTGAACGAGTTCTGAAGATGTAATGTGGGGAAAGTTATCAAAATATCTGTGAAAAAGGGTTAAGAATCTAATATTAAGGTTGAGACCCAAGTTATTAGTATCAGACTGTGAGTACTTTGATTTAATGGATGAAATATGCTAAATTTGCTAGAAGAGCTACAATATACAAATCTCGTTAAGTTTCTTTCTAAAATTTCCTTTTCTTTTAATAACTGTTTGCTTTCCATTTTTCACATAATTTCAGAATTCTTTCTAATAAAACCATAATATAAACCAAGAACAAACTCCAGCTGCCATGCATGGTTTCATGCCAATCTTCCGACAGAAGTGATACCGACAAAGGTTCAAGACCAGTGGCCTTGAAACTGTTTCATGTCATCTGTCTTTTGAACACAAACTTCAAAGAAAGTATCAGAAAAACAGATCATCCACATAGCTTCTGCACTGGGCCTTGGTTTGTGGTGAACCATGAATATATATAAGTAAATAAATAAATAAACAAAAAATTAAAAAAAGACCCTGCTTTTGTCTCAATTCAGTAATGTCAGGTATAGAGACAACAGTGTTCTTACATGGAACATACATGTTGTTTGTATTGTAATACATCTACACCAACTGTACAGTGAACTTGCCAAGGGACATGAGCATGTGGCATCCCCACCTACACTTTAAGGATGTAGTCAAATGGAACATAAAAGCCATGGACAATATATTTGCACATGGAAGACACTTGCAACATAACAAATAGAACACTTTGGAGACAGGATTCTAGTTAAGATTACAGCTTACAGAGGGAAAGAAAAACAGAGACTTGCATCAGAACTCGGACCCTTTAAGCATATAACAAACAAAGTACACAGTGTAGAAGTAGTACCTTTCATGGTCTTACGAGACCGAGGAATACCTACTACTTCTAACTACTCTACCTATCTTTTGAACTCGAACTTCAGAGACCTGTATACTAACGGATCATCCCCACAGCTTCTGCATTCAAACCCTGCTCTTTTCTCAATCCAGTCATGTTGGGCACTGTTCTTTCCTCAGACGAAAAGGGCAATGAGCTGGAGGGTCTGCATGCCTTTTTCTGTGAGGCGTAGCAAGCCATTTTGCTTAGTAATGCGTGCTTATGTCGAGCCATTTTAGTTTACCGTTTATCGTAGCTGGCAAATTTACTTCAGGAAGTGCAGAAAATTCTTTACAAGCATAATTGGCCACTTAGTGCCAGATAGTGTGTTATTTCTTATCCTGAATTCTACTTCTTAATCATTTTTTAGAAATTCTTCGTATCGCGTAGTCGAACACCAGATTGCCCAAAAAATCACGTGGGCATCCAAGGCGGCCACAGATTAGCTAGTTTTGCCATGAATGCAACTGAACATTCCAAAGAAGTCACTTTCAAATTGTTATACATGTACAAGACGACCTAATTTACCATACATTACTGGCCTGCCTGGAGTAACTGACAAGTGTTATTGTCCATCGTAAATTTACCGTCGCCAGGATTCCCCCATGCAGACCCTCGCTAATGTATGTGTAAAACAAGACTGATATCCACACTTTAGCAGACTTATTACCACCCTGCAGTCAGAGAAGAACCTCCCCGTACAGTGTGACAAACCCAGAACAGACTGGCAGCCCCGACATTTCGGGATTCTATTCCTGAGGAAGGATGGGTGCAAGTAGAGGACTGTTGGTCTGGGTTATCATGGGTTAGTTCTGTTCACTGTTTGTGGGCTTGACTGCGAGCAGCTAGACTATAATTATCATATTTATAGCACCGTCTGCTCTTACAGGGTTTGTTACAGGTCTCACATGTGAAGATAGAATGTTGACATGTCTTGTTTCTTTTCTGCCCTATATTTATGGGTGGTACCCAGAAAATAGAGATGACTCACGTAGCTTGTTTTGGGGCTATCTAAAACGCTTTTTTAAGACGTTTTAGATAGCCCCAAAACAAGTTACGTGAGGCATCTCTTTATTTTTAGCACATTTTTATCATCATTTTATATTTAAAAATATAAAATGATGATAAAAATGTGCTAAAAATGGTAGTCAATGTAAGATAAATTTACGCATTCAGAAAATTTTGTTTTGCCGCCCGTAAGTGGGTTCTTAAACGTGCATAGGGTTTGGCTCTCCCCAAAGACGGGACCTCCATTTAACCGCCGTTTGTGCCATTGGATTCTTTCTTACTTTTCTTTCAGGTTCAAGTACACAGGTGAAATATTGTGAAACAGTGCAGGTCACAACTTCCTACATATTCAACAGCAGGCCACAGTCTGGTGTCATCTCCAAACCAGATCAAGATGCTCCCAATCCTACAGCTGGTCCAGACATGAAGACCACAGGTAAAACAGGTTATTCACTTCTCTATATAAGTCTTAGACTACTGTATTATGTCTTGTGCTTAGGGTTGTTAGGTCTAAAAATGTTGTGTTTCCTGCTTAAGTGTTAAACAACTAGGGTCGGTAGGATAAGGGATTACCTTTTTCCCATTCTTTGTTTAGTAGACTTTGGCAGTCTGTAGTGATTGAACTTATACATTGTACAATTCCCATATACACACTTATACACACACACATACATGTACACACACACATACACACACCGTGAAAACAAATTTGAAGTACTACTTTAAAAGTATTTGAATAAACAAATAGGTACCACTAATATAAAGTTTCTGTGGTGCTGATCAGCATTTAACAACAACGAACAGACCTGTCCCTGGTGCTAATTAGTATT